CGAACGTTCGGCTATTTTCTAGGGTTCTGGGTATGCTACATTCGATGGTTCGGCTATTTTCTAGGGTTCTGAGTATGCTAAATTCGAAGGTTCGGCTATTTTCTAGGGTTCTGAGTATGCTGTATCTTATCTACAATTTCCAGGATGTTATTTAATATCAAGTCACCTTTTCTATATATCACACGAGAATACATTAGTTATAACTTGGTTCTGTTCGGTGAACTTGAGAAGGGCAGCGCGACGCCTTTGAGATTAACTCTATCGTTCAGTCAGTTTAGTGATTTGATTTCCAGTCTACGATCAACGTAGTCCAGTCTTTATCATTGCCCATTTATATAAGTCCTGTAGAGCATCAGGAGAGAGAGAGAGAGAAGAAAAAAACAGTAGAATCAAAACACAGAACGTTATTTCAAAGTTCTTTACTTTTCTTGATCATGGGTTTTGTCCTTAGATTTTATCCTTTTCACAACGTCTAATTACGGTCTTCCTCCGCCAACTCGATACCCAACTAATCTTCTATTTAGTGGGAATGTGATTTATCTGTGTGCAGATCTCGAAGTATCACGCTTGTAACTGCGGTTAACAATAGGCACAGATAAATAGGCACGTCAATGTATATATTTCCCGCGTAACTTTAATAGAACTCTGTGTTGAATTTCGCTAAATCATAGGGTGTGTTTTTTGCCAGCGTAGATGGCGTAAAATTATTGCTGGTAATGTATACAGTACAATAATATATAAACAAAACTAAAGAAACTTTTATATCTTTAGTCATACGCGATTGTCTCTGTGATCTCTTTACTTAACATAATATATACGCCTGTTAAGAAGAAATAAGGGAGCTAACCGCGGACTGTTATGTAAATAAACATAATAAGAGCGGACCCGACAGAGACGTTGGAAATGCATTCATATTCTCACTCATGGAAATGAGACTGTTAATTCCAGTGAATAACACGTATTCATAAAATACAAATATACTGTAGACGTATACATAATATTTACATAATACCATTTATGTACTGGAAGCTTCTAATACGCTGTCTATGAAGTTCGTTCTTAAACAAACCAAATTATTCGTATTTGAAATGCAAATACATAAGTTGCGTTTTGTAATTTGTTCTTTTGCTCACAAGCCCAAAGACCTGCCAGTTGTTTATATATATAATCAGTAAGCTGAACAATTATACTTTGATTTCTATAGGGACGTTACTTTTGTTGTTGTTGAATTTCACGCACTCGAAGGCTATCTGCGCTAGCCGTCCCTAATTTAGCAGTGTAAGACTAGAGGGAAGGCAACTAGTCATCACTACCACTACCACTCTCGGGCTCCTCTTTTACCAACGGAATGTGGGATTGGCCGTAACATTATAACGTCCCCATGACTGAAAGAGCAGAGATGTTCATTGACGGGATTCGAACTCACGACCCACAGATTGCGAGTCAAGCGCACTAACCACCGGATCATGTCAGGCCACATTCTCTGTCATTAATCTAATATATTAAATTCACAAAACATAATGCTATACAGGTTAAAAACATTTAAGTTGATATAAGTTTCATTATATATATATATATATATATATATATATATATACTA